TTCTTGCAGCTTGCATCCATTGTTTCGGGTCCTAGTCTCTGGAGCAGTCAAAGTGGTCTCAAACTGGATTATTTCTGCAGTGTGTTTTGGCTGCTCCTAGTACCTTGGATGCTTTGTGTGGGGCCTTCTGCAGGCAGAAATACCAAGGGTTGTGCTCCTGGGTGTGAAGATGTTTCTGGGATCTAGTTGTGGGCCTCTATGGCTGGCATGCTATCCTGTGTCAGAGCTCCTCTCAGCTCAAAGGGGCAGGGGGACACTTTGCTCCATCCTATTCCTGTCCCTAGTTTTCAACAGACTTTCAGGAATGGGCTCTCAGTCCTTGATTGAAATAAAGCCTCTCCACTTTATAGCTCACTTTATAGCATTTCCTGAGCAAGAGTGCAGCCTAGTTGATTGCCGTATGAATTCAAACCAATGAAATCCAGAAGTTTGTGACGCAAGAAAGCCATTACACTCTCTAGAAGCCTAATCCCAAACGTCTGGTTTTGAAGAAGCTGATATGCATTTCTCCCCCTTCACTGTACTGTTGTGCCTACTTAAGAGTCAAGGGAGGCCCCTGTAAAGTTAACAGATTTCTTTTTTGCTCTCTGGAGCAAGACCACTTGTTAAAAGCAAGGGCCTGCTACAAAATTAAGTGTGCTGCACAGTGAGCCAAGTGCCCTGAAGTTTCCAGAAGCAAGGGAGGCAATTGCTCAGCCGTCCACAGTTTCTGCATGAAATGGAAAGTAACTATCTGTGCTATTTCACTGACAGTCATATATATTCACAATTTGCCCCAAAATTAAGCACAGCACATGACCTATTATATCATATTTAGAATGCTTGCAATATTTACAGTTCCTCCTGTTTTTGCCCCCTCTTGTGCAGAAGTGCGCTTGATAGAGTGAGTTTCATTTTGTGACAAAAGTGTGGAATACCATATTTGCATTATGTGCAGGTTTCATTGTAGGACAAATTTTTATTTTTTAAGCGACACTAATACAGCTGCAGATGAATTGCAAGTAAACCTGATTTAAATTGTTTCAAACTCTTTAAAATGGATTTTCATCCACTTTCAGCAGTGGCAGGCACTATTCATGTAAAATTAAAGATGGAGAAAACATTAGTAAGTCAAACATTGGAGAGCAAGTTTTGCTTTGGCAGGGATAAGCCTGCCGTAGTGACAGAGCCAAAGTATTTTTTTTTCCAGATCCCTTTGGGTCTTTCCATTGAGTTACATTAAACTTTGGATCAGGCTTCCCCAGCTGAGCAATCTTTTCCATCTGTTAAGCTGTTGCTCCAGAATTTGAAACCTCCAGCGGTTCAATTCCTCTTCATTTAAATCACAGTGAAAAGGAGACGGAGGGAACTCTATTGAAATCCAGCCCAGGCCTGATTTTCATGCACCTAAAACCTCCTTTCTCCCGTAGAGATTTCAGGATGGAAAAGGAATGCAAGGTCTGGAGCTAATGTATATTCCATACATGTCGGAGCCAACAACCCTTCCCCTTCCCCTCCTTCCTCAAAATACCATTTTGTGGTCCAGACAAGTGAACGTAATCCATTCCTCCTGTTTCTTTCTCAGAGGGATGCTATGACAATGGGCAGCACTATCAGATAAACCAGCAATGGGAGCGCATTTACCTGGGGAATACTCTGGTTTGTACCTGCTATGGGGGGAGCAGAGGATTCAACTGTGAAAGTAAGCCTGAAGGTGAGTTGGAGACTTCCTTGGTGGATTCTGGTGTGGAGGGAAAATGGAGGAGTGGGTGAAAAAGAAGAGTAGTTTTACATTTATAGAACTACCTTCTTTGTAAGTCTCAGAAAGGGCAGCCTGTCCTGAACTCATTTCTCTTCCATTAATGCCTTTTTTTGCATGGCAATATCCTCTTGCTCTTTCCTGTTTATTGTTGATAGGAAGTCCTCAGAGCAGATATAGTACAGTTGTCCCTTCTTATCCATGGGGGATCTTTTCCAGGCCCTCCTCCTGCCCCGAGGATAACGGAAACTGGGGACCTCAGGTCCCATTGCTTCCTATGGCTGTGTGCATGCACATCCATTTTTTAAAAAAGCAAAACAGGTTTGCTATCTACAGAAGTGCAAATCCATGGATTGCGAGCCTGTGGATAAGAAGAGACCACTGTACGATGTTGTGATATGCATGACTCCTGTTGGAGGAGTTTTCCAACTAAATGCTGTAAAACAGTGGTCCCCAAACTTTGGTCCTCCAGATGTTTTGGACTTCAGCTCTCAGAATTCCTGACTGCTGGCCAAGCTGGCTAGTGCTTTTAGGAGTTGAAGTTCAAAATACCTGGAGGACCAAAGTTTAGGGATCACTGCTGTATCTCTCAAGGAGCCTCTGTGTCTCTGACTGGGGACCCCCAAGTGTTCCAGAAGATTCAATGGGTAGAATACATGAAGCTTCTTGGGGCTTATTGTTTTAAGAGAGTACTCTCACAAAAATTGATGCATACCTCTGCACTGTAGGGGAGCAGTCTCTCCAGAAAGCTTTTTATGCTGGCTCTCTAAGGGGGGTTGCAGACTGCCAGAAAAAGTGCAAATTGAGTCCACTTATAGGATTAGGGTTAGTGCTAGGGAATCATAGGAATTGTTTTTTTTTCTCTGAGACATTGAGCCTTTTCTGTCAGAGAGCTCTGGTGCCACAATAAAATACAGTTCCCATGATTCCCTAACCCTAACCCTTAAAGTGGACACAATTTGCACTATTTCTGGCAGTCCGCAACCCCACTAAGTGGATATTTATGTTTGGAATGGGTGGACTGGCTTACAGGGATTTAAAAGAGAATGGGACAAATGAAACCTCTGGATACAGAGGCAGTCTAACTCTGTAGATTGCTTCTTACTGAGCAATCAAAGACAAGGAGCTTATTGTGTTTTGCTCTTTTGGATTCTTCTGACTCAGTACTGCTGCAAATGGGACTTTGGACCAAATGAGGTCTTCATCTGCTCATCGGGGGTGTTTTTATGATTGTGGGTGTTAGGTGCTTTGGCTTTGAGCACTAATGACTTCAGGCTTCTCCACCCTTCAAAACTATAGCACAACCCTTTAACTGCTATGGCGGCCTCCTATGGGATCTTCCTGAGGTTTGCATAGTTTGGTCAGAGGAGGATTCTCTGGCTGAGGTTTCCAAATGCCCCTCCTTCAATGGACAATCCCAGAATTCCATAGGATGTTGCCATGGCAGTAAAAATGAAATCTTAGTGCTATTTTATAATTGTGTAGTGTGAAAGCCCCCCCCCCAATACTGTGCAAGAGAGGGCCCTAAAAAGACTTAAAGAAATAAAAAGGAACCTTAGGGAAAGTCATGCTGTGATTTATTTTTTAAGTAAGGTATAAGTGACAAAAGAGCAACATGCATACTTACTTTGGCAAAAAAGATAGAGGAGGGATGTG